TTGGGAGGCTGAGGCAGAAGGATTGCTTGAGCCCAGGAGTTTGAGGTTGCTGTGAGCTAGGCTGATGCCACGGCACTCTAGCCTGGGCAACACAGCAAGACTCTGTCTCAAAAAAAATAAATAAATAAATAAAAAATAAATGGTGCTGGGATACTAATTATCCATGCTATAGAAAAAAGCGAAAATAGGTATCTTCACAGATGTACAAAAATAAAATCCAGACATCTCAATAATTTAAACTGTAAAAGGCAAACTATAAAACTTTTGGAAGAAACATAAGAAAATGTCTTTATGACCCCAAGTTAAGCAAATCACAACTTGGAAGACTATACTTAACATCATATAACTGACAAACGATACTGTATATAGACTATAAGGAATGCTTATTAATAAACAAGGAAACAATTAACAACCCAATAGAAAAACTGATTAAAGACCTGAATAGATATTTCACAGAAAGTACTAATGAATAGCCAATTAACCTGAAAAAATGCCCAATATCCTAAATAATCAGGGAAATGCAGACTAAAACCACAATGAGCTACCATTTCACACCTCCCAGATTGGCAGAAATTAAAGTCCTGTAATACAAATTGGTGAGGATGTTCAGCAATGGAAACCCTCATCTTCTGTGGGTGAGAATGCACATTAAAAACTTTAGGAAACAAGCTAAGAAACCTAGTCAAGTCAAACATGCGAATACCCTGTAAACCTGCAATTCTACTCCTAAGTATATACTTCTGAGCAACCTTTAAATCTTTGACCAGGACACACACCAAGAAACATATTTTATATCCTAACCCACTACACATATGGCTGAAACAAATGTTTCATGAAACAACTCTTTTACTGTGTGTGGTATACTCTGGTTATTTCAATTAATGTCATCCACTAAACAGATTTTATAACCCACTAATGCACTGGATTTTTTTTGTTGTTCTCCTTTCATCTTGCATAATGCATTGGTTTTTAACATGAGCTGCACATTAGAATCACCTGGGGCATTTAAAAAGCTAAAACAAAAACAAAACTGATGCCCAGATAAGCCCCTGAAGACTCTGATTCAATTGGAATGGGATGGAGCTTGAACACAGAGTTCATTAAGCTTCCCAGGCAATTCTAATTAGTAGAACAACTATACTAATGGGTCACCTGAAGCTTGAGAAGGACTGCCCTAGAGAAACACTTGCACACATCCACCAAGATAAATGTTCCAGATTATCCACAGCAGCATTATGCGTGAAAACAGCACAAATATCTACTGATAGGAAACTGGTTAAACAAGTTACAGCACATTTATATAGTGTAATAGTATACAGCAGTGAAAATGAACAAACTACAGTTACATATATGAATATCAGCAAAGAAAATAAATGAACTACAGCTGTATATATCAAATCTCTAAAACATAAAGCTGAATGAAAAATGTATCCTAGAAAAAGTACGGACAGTATAATTCTTTTAGAAAAGGTTCCAAAACAGGCATGCCCAAACCATATATTATTTGAGAATGAATAAATGTTATAAAATTATAATAAAAAGCCAAAGAATAAAAAAATGCAAAACTCAGAATGGTGGACATCGGGAAGGGGGAGGAGAAAGATACTATGGGGTGCGACAGACAGGGACTTCAAAGGCGCTGATAAAATTCTAGGCTGGGTGGTAAGTACAAGAGTGTTTTAATAAAATATATGTATTATATATGCTATTGTGTGTATGATGTCAACACAAAGTAAAATATTAAAACAAAATTTTATTTATATAAAGTCCTAAAACAGGCTAAACTGATTGAAGGTAAAAAAATCACATAGTAGTTGCCTGGAGGCAGGGGAGGATTGGGTTAACTGGGATAGAATGTGAGAGCATTTTCTGAGGAGAAGGAAATAGTCTATTACGTGACATGGTGATAGTGATTATGGCTTACATGGGTGTATCATCCATCTGTCAAAATTGTACAGTTACTACTTGTGCATTTTGATATTTGTAAATTTTATTTAAAAATAAGAGACAAGGCAGAATGATTATAATTGTTGAAGCTGGATGATGGGGTTCATTACACTATTCTTTCTACTTTGTATATGTTTGATATTTTCTATAATACAATTTTTTAAGAGAATGAAAAATAATTGGATAAGGTAAGTTTTTTTTAAACAGCTTATAAAGTTTTAAGATTAGCACTAAAAAGTTTTCAGATCTTAACAGTAAACAAAAGAAAACAAAGTCTTCAGAAATCATCAACAAAAACTGAATGGATATTAATTACAGATATGAAGAACTGATAAGCCTAAATGCAATTAGAGCCATCCCTGGGAAACCAGTACTCTCACCTTCCCTTAGTTAGGGGGGACCTTGAGTTAGTTGTAGCTGAAAATTCTGAGAAAAGGAATGGAAAGAAGGGGTTTAGTAATGGAGGATAAAACTGGAAGATCCTCAAAATGATCAGAGAGATAGGTATGCTCTTTTGCATTTATGTAAATGCATGTTCAATTTGCTCACAAATCCTTCCATTAACCAAAGTCAAGTACTAGACTGTCCCCACTTTCTCTTTTGCTCATTTTATCCTCTTCTATTCCCCTTTCCAATGCTGTCCAAGTATACTTTATTCTATTTTAAGGAATCACCTATCCCACCTTGGACTCTGATTCTCCATAGGTAAGTAATTTCAACTCTTCTAGCAAGTTCTTCTAGTACTAACCTCCATCATTTTTTTCTAACCTTTAAATGTAGTGTTTACACCATCATTTTTAGGTTTTCCCACTTGAAATACACTGATTTACTACTTTGGAAGATAATAGATTTGGCATTCTCCAATACACATACTTCTTTACCTTCTTCCCACGTATAATTTTTGGTTCATTGCTTCATGTTCCCCTTTTATCCTTTACCTGATCCAATCCAAGTACATTTTGCATTCTCAAACATGCCAGATACACACCCTATTGCTTCTGTTAAATAAACTTTAAAAATATACTTCCATTAGGCTTTTCAGTTACAACTTCACATGAAATCTTAATAAAAGCAAAATTAGGTGGGGGCAGTGGCTCATGCCTATAATCTCAGCACTTTGGGAGACTCACTTTGGGAGGGTTGCCCGAGGCCAGGAGTTCAAGAGCTGCCTGAGCAACATAGAAAGACTCCCGTCTCTACAAAAAATAGAAATATTAACCAGGCCTGGTGGCATGCTTGAGTCCAGGAGTTTGAGGCTACAGTAACTATGATCAAAACCACTGCACTCCAGCCTAGGTGACAGAGTGAGATGCTATCTCAAAAAAAAAAGCATGAAATTACAAATAAGTGTAATTATTACACTAAAATAAATGAATAGGTTTTCAACTGTTCAATGATTATGTCCTGTCTACAAATCTAAATTACCCAAGACTTGATTCTTTATTAATACTAACCCAAATTTTCACTGATTATGTATCATATAATCTCAAATTAAATATGTATTAAGTATTATTATACACAAAGCACCATTCTTCTTCCACTTGGGTTTACCTCTCCATATAGGAGATATATCTTTATCTCTGCTTATACCTATTACCAGCTATCAGAGTCATATTATCACACTTAATGTGATTAAACAAATGAATTTCTTACCCTTATTCTAACATCCAATAGTGTTCATAATCCCTTATCCAATTCTAAAAATCCAAAAAAAAAATTGAAAACCAATAGATTTCCTTGTCTATTAACACCAAAACTACTTTAGTGACTTCAACTTATACAAGACTATTTATAATCTTTATCCCATCTTTGTTTGAATACACTGGTGGTTCTTAACTGGGGGTGATTTTGCCTCACAGGGGATATCTGGCAATGTCTGGAGATGGTCTGGGTTGTCACAACTGGGTTGCAAGGTGCTACTGACATCTAGTGGGTAAAAGCTAGGAATGCCGTTAAATGTCCTATAATGCACAGGGACAACTCCCTACAACAATAAATTATTTGGCCCCAAAATGTCAATAGTGGTCAGGGCCTGGTGGCTCATGCCTGTAATCCTAGTACTCTGGGAGGCTGAGGTGGGAGGATTGCTTCAGCCCAGAAGTTCAAGACCAGCCTGAGCAAGAGAGAGACCTTGTCTCTACTAAAAATAGAAAAAATTAGCTGGGCGTGGTGACTAATGCCTGTAGTCCCAGCTACTCGGGATGCTGAGGTGGGAGGATCACCTGAGCCCAGGGTTTGAGGTTGCTGTGAGCTAAGGCACTGTAGCCTGGGTGACAGAGTGAGACTATGTCTCAAAAAGTCAATAATGCCTAGGTTGAGAAATTGCAGGCTAGACAATATTTTGCTGAAGACACATCAATGTGTTGATTACTAATTCTTCTACAGATATGTCTGAGGGCATTTATAGAATACATGATAAAAAGAGAGTATTTATTACTCAAAAATCAGAAAAATTCTTAATTCCAAAATATAGTTGGCTCTAGGAATTTCAGACAGGAGACTGTGGACCCTCTATCACCATTCTATTTAATAGTAACAGCAGGTCTTCCTCAAGTACCTTGTGATTTGTATCCCAGTAATGTCAGGAAGCCATAAATTATGGCCAAGGTCTCAGAAAATAAAGGAGATGAATAGAGAAATTCATTGGCCATAACAAGTAGGATGAGTAACAACTTTATAGTTTTATTCTTTTTTATCACAATTTAAAATAAACTAGCCTTTTAAATAGTGCCTATATATTAACATTAGTTGTTTTCTTGATTATGTTTTAGTGTTCTTACCATAAAAGATATCGACATAGGATACTATAATATAATAAATCAATACTGGGACTCGTAAAACCACAAGAGCTGTTTACCTTTCTCTGTGCCTGAGAATATGGAGATGATTTTATTCCTGGGCTTTTTTTCTTCTGGAACAGATGGCAAAGGTTTCAAACTGTGATTGGCTGACAAAGGGTCTTTGCCTCCAGTGCTAAAAATGGTACTGCTCATTCGCACGGGAGGTGCCGGAGGCTTGTCTTCCAGTTCTCCGTTATCAGACATGGTTCAGAACTATGAAATGACCTGAAATATATAGGAAAAAAAAATACAATTAATAACAAAAGAAAGAGTTACAAGCACGAAACAGTAGTAACTACCCCTTGCCATAACTCCAAATTAGAAAATGTTATGCATTTAGAGTAATGTTTGCAAAATTTGGAAAAATCAATGTGAAATAGATGTAACTGGTCATCAACAAAGGTAATCTCCCCTAATAAAGTTGGTAAATGGTTAGCTGAGGGAATGTTTGAAATGCCAGGTAGAAAGCATGATCACACTCACATAGCAAAAGCTATCCACATAACTGATTCTAAGGGACTGTTCCAACAAAAAAGACAGACAACATAGAATCTTAAAATAGGAGAATTCCAAAGAGGAAGAATATGTTCTGAGCAGCTAACCACAGGATATCTCTGTTAGGTCTATCTCTAGAACAGAAATGGATGCTTGGCTGTTAAACCTATCAACACCCTTCTGATTCCTTGCACACCAGCCCTGTGGTTACAAGTTAGCCTTCACATAACCTTTCCTAAAGGATTCCTAAAAGAATGTGCTACCGACATAGTATTTGGTCTCTCTGAAAATTTGACATTCTAATTTACACACATTAGTCTCTTCTGAGTTTTGCAGTCATATGAAGCTTGATCAATCTGAGTACACTGACAAAATCAAATCCAGAGCATGGCTGAGAACCGGAGTATGGCCACAACCCCCCCCGCCCAACATTCTGTGACACTGTAATTCCCTGACCAGGCAACTTCTCTTATCCACCTGGTTAATTTAGTGGAAATTCTAACTTTGTTTATATATACTTATAGGTATATATTTTATGTCTTTAAAAAAAGTGGATTACATACACTAAAATCAGCAGTAAAAGGGAGGGGAACCCTAACTTACACATTAGTTCTGATATAAAAGTAAATATATTAGATAACAACACACTTCCCCACTAAACAAGGTTGTGTTGTTGTTGTTTTTTCCTTTGAGACAGAGTCTCACTCTGTCGCCCTGGCTGAGTGCTGTGGCATCATCGCAGCTACCACAACCTCAAACTGCTGACCTCAAGCGATGCTCCTGCCTCAGCCTCCCTGAGTGCTAGGATTACAGGTGTTAGCCACCGTGCCCAGCCCTAATCAAGATTTTGTTTGGTAATTGTATCTTGATTTGGTTATAAGGTTATTTAATGTGTCAAAGTAAACAAAACTTTGTGTACATACAAAGAATGCCAACTGTTTTTAGAGAAAATTAAAAATAAATTTTTATTTTATTTTTTAGTTTGAATGCTAATACCTGAAGAAAAGTAGGTACAATTTGATAACTAGGGGATGAAGAGATTATTATACCTAATTCTATTCCAAATCTTACAGCTTTTGTTTTCTTGGTGAGAGTAATGTTACTAGCACTACTGTATATTTTATCTGCCAAAATGACGATTATTTTTCAGCCTACAGGAGGAAGAATGAGAGAAGGTAAAGGAGGAAAAACATACATTTTGGGGGATAACTAGCTAGAGAAGAGCTGGGAAAGGAGAGTAAAAAAGATCTAGATCTGTGTGTGAGAAAGACTGCCTGGTCCAAGGAAGAAATGAGGGTGGGATCTAAGGTGATATACATGTCATGTCATCAGCTGATTCTTCCTAACATAAAGTGGGGTTTGTTTTAGGGTGGGGTGCAAGCAAGATGCAACTGGCTATTCTTAAGTATGGGCTGCCATCAGTGTGCATTATGAGAGGGGACCTATCTTGCTACAGAAGGAAGAAAGATAAGGCTCAGTAACAATATTGCAAGGATTATTTCATGAATGGCTAAATCAAGACCAAAGTTTAGGTGTTTAGGTGTTAATGTGATCGTAACACTAAGGCACAGTAGATTATCCCTGAAATAGCTCACTTTCATCTTAATCACCACTTACAACAGAAACAGCATGCAGGCTGGGCGCGGTGGCTCACACCTCTAATCCTAGCACTCTGGGAGGCCGAGGCGGGTGGATCGTTTGAGCTCAGGAGCTCGAGACCAGCCTGAGCAAGAGCGAGACCCCATCTCTACTAAAAATAGAAAGAAATTACTTGGACAGCTAAAAATATATAGAAAAAATTAGCCGGGCATAGTAGCGCATGCCTGTACTCTCATAAAGTGAGACTCTGTCTCAAAAAAAAGAAAAGAAAAGAAAAGAAACAGCATGCAAAGTTACAATGTTTGGTTTTCAGGTACACCATGAACACATATTAATATACACTATTTATGTAAGTTAAAAAATCAGGATAATACAACAAAGCTTTAAAATACATTTATAGAAAAAATGCATCGAAATATTTTTAAATTTATTTTTTATTTATTTATGTTTTTCCATGAAAATTTTTGTTTGTTTGGTTGGTTTTTTTTGGAGACAGAGTCTTGCTCTGTCACCCAACTAGAGTGTTGTGGTGTCAGCTTAGCTCACAGCAACCTCAAACTCCTGGGCTCAAGCAATCCTCCTGCCTCGGCCTCCCGAGTAGCTGGGACTACAAGTGCGTGCCACCACGCCTGGCTAAGTCTGTCTATTTTTAGTAGAGACAGGGTCTCTCTCTTGCTCAGGCTTGTCTTAAACTCCTGACCTCAAGCAATACTCCTGCCTTGACATCCCAGAGTGTCACATCAGAATGTTAACAGTGGTTATCTGCAGCTAATAAGTAGTTTTTAACTTAATCACTACCATCAGAGCTGTGGCTAAAAGATATATGCATTAAAAAACACAGTCAGGGCACAATAATTACTTAGTGTAAACAGACTACAAATTCTATCCTTAAGACTTGCTTATAGATAGAATATGACTAGAAACTGCCAATGCACCTTAAATTAAAACAAACAAAAAACCCAGCTGCATGTTGTCCAGTTTTGTGGTAATAGTATAAGGTCTGGAATCAGACTGCTTTGGTCGGAATCCTGGTTCCACTATTTACTTAAGTGCGTAACTCTGGGCAAATTACTTAACTGTGCCTCGGTGTTCCTTGACTTACCCTTTAAGAAGTATCTGCCCAAACAAAACCCAAATTTAATATTAAACACATGAGTTATAGATGTCCCTAATGAAATTACTCAAGATGACAAATATGACAGCAACAATTTTCTAAGTAATATGCCACGTAAGTGACAAGATCTTAATAAATATAAGCACGACCCCTTGGTAAAATATTGATGCCTCTGCCACCAGCTTAGCTAAAGACAGTCTCTTATTTCTTCAGTTGTTGTTCAGAGGGAATTAGAATAAACTTTAGCTTCTTAAAGAGTTTCTACGTGCTCAGTTTTTTGTTTAGAGAAAGAAGTTAGAACTGGTTAAATACACTTTAATCATTGCGTAGAAGTTGAACAAAAGTAACACATGATATCACTCTCCCTGGCTACATCTTCCTCAGCAGCTGCCCACAACCTATAGACTGAGGACTAAACTTTAGCATTTAGGGCCATTGAACTCCAAACTGCTGAATTAATCTGATCTCTCATGGATGTACCACACAAATCCTATGCTTCATATTGTCCAAATATACCATGGACTTTCCTGGTCTAAATAATTTTTGTGTATATATTTCTACATTCCTAATTTTTCTTCATTCCTTTCATCTACTCAAGCAAATCTTTCAAGGCTCAGTAAACATTATTTCTATGTAAGGTCATTCCTGTCTATTCCTGCTCAAAATGATCTCTCACATCCTCTGGACTCAAGTTACAAAGGAAAATAAATTCAGAGACCATTAAAATTACAATGGATTAGAATTCATCTGGCCCATCTTCCTTATTTTATATGTGAAAAAACTAACCCACTAAAAAGTAAGGGGTTTGCATGAAGTCACACAAATCTAATTATTAACAGAACGAAGACTAAAATTTAAGTTTCTAACAATCTCATGTTCTTTTTTCCTTATTTATGCTAATATACCGGACCATTCTTTGGCAATGAATTATAACTGTACATCCTTAGTTATTTTATGTTTTTTCCTGCCCAAGACTTCAAGCAATTCAAAGGCAGGGACTTATGCATGGATTAGATAACAATGTTTACTGATTCACGGTGCAAGACTCTCTCTCCAGATGAAATGTTATTCTTCTTGAATCTACTAGTTTTTTAAATCAAACAGCATTTCACTAAACAACATACAAACTACCGTATATTAACAAAAATATCTTTGGAAAGATTTATACTTTTCCCCCCTCAAAGCTAAGCAATGGACTTCAGTTCTCTTTTCCATAAAGCAGTATATTTTTTAGTGCTCTGCTGCTACTGACAGTGTCTAATGCCTGAAAAGTGCCAAATGAGGTTGTGATGAGGTTCTTTACGCTCACCTTATATTTTAGCCAAAATCCAATAATTGAATACAAAAAAATTCATGATAAAATACTGATTTACCTTGTTTTTGCTCCATTATTCAAAAATGTTTTATAAAAAAAGATCAAATGTAAGTACTGACTCTCTCCAAATTTGTTCAAACACTTTGCTACTTTTCAGTGAAAAACAAGTAGGCGAAACAAAAAGTGTGCCCCAAACACACTGTACTCTTCTATCAGGCCCATTGTTGAACTGTGACACGACTCAAACACAAACAATTCCTCAATTGTCTACTGAAGGAGACTAGGGGTAGCTAAATACACAGCAGAAATGAAAAAAGTAGTGGTGTCTGGAACCAGTCAGTCCAATTAGTGGAAATTACTAAATTTATTAGAATCTACTGGGATCAACTAGTAGTGGTCTCCAACCTTTTTGGCACCAAGGACTGGTTTCATGGAAGACAATTTTTCCATGGCGGCAGGGGGTGGGGGGGAACTCTGCAGCCAGGCCATGGACCGGTAGGCAGCACAGGGGTTGGGGGACGCAGAACTATGGTATTCTAAGTATAAACCATATACTGCTGAAAAATATGATTAATAAAGCATAAGTTTGCTTTACATTTTATATAAATAACAAGTGAGTCTTAATTTTTCAGTACCTCATAAATGCTGTAACACAACACTAATTAATCAGACTTCTAACACTCAATAAGCTTCAAGAGCCCC